CAAAATGCAAAAAGGATTGGGACTATTATCAGTAACAATGATCACAGGAGCCCAAAAGTGGCTTCCTTCTTTCCTACCCCCCAGCCAGGCTCTCCTGGGCACCTGAGGTGGACCTCCTCCTGCAGATTCAGGACTCCGTCTCACCATGGTAGTGCTGGGCAGCTGAGGTGAGTGTCCAATGTAATGTTGCTTTCTTGGCTCACTCAGAACCTCAGAGCAGAGTATTGGGTGTTGGACTTCACGTTGCACTTGGACTGGGCTCTTTAGCATTTTTAAACAGCTGCTGATTTTTATTATTTTTTATTCTTTTTTTTTTTTTCATCTTTTTGAAGCAGGGTCTCCCTATAGCCCCAGCTGTCCTGGAACTCACTATGTAGACCAGGCTGGCCTTGAACTCACAGAGATCCACCTGCCTCTGCCTCCCAAGTGCTGGGACTACAGGCGTGGGCCACCATGCCCACTTATTCATTATTTTTATGTTATGTATACAGGTGTATTGCCTGCTTGTATGTAAATGCACCTGGGCCATGCAATGCCCACTGAGGTCAGAAGAGGGCATCAGATCCCCTGGAACTGGAATTATGGATGGTTGTTATGTGGGTCCTGGGAACTGAACCTGGGTCCTCTGTAAGACAAGAGCAGTTAATGCTCTTCACCCCTGAGCCAGCCCACCAGCCCTCTTTAGTATTTTTAAACACAAGAGAATCAGAGAATCATAGATGCTCTTGACAGCTCTGAGGCAAGACTTAATATCTTTCCCTTCAGTTTTGCTCCTTTCATTTTCAATGTCACTGTCTTTCTTTGATCTCTGTACCCTTCCCCTCTTACTTCCTCAGGGTCCTTTCAGATTTTTATGTAATTCTTTTTTCACTTAATTGTTTCTACTAGCTCTTTTCATTTATGTTAAATGTGAGCAGACTCTTAATTCATGAACAAATATTTCCTTTAATCCTAGTTAACCCCGTCACCTGCACTTCCTAACCATAGTAAATATCTTTCCTTCTCTATACTTATTTTTTTAAGTCTTAAAGTAATACTCATGACTTTAAGATCATCATACTTCTGCACCTTGAAAACAAATACTGGCATATAACATTTAAAGCTAACCATAAAGAAACAGTATAATTGCTGTGGAATTTCAGTAAAAGAAAAGGACAGTTTTTATTATTGTTGTTATCAAATATAAAAAGTTTGCAATTTTAATTGAATAAAAAATTTTTTAATTATAGAAAAACACAAATGAAGATCAGAACTACGGAGGGTGCATATAATGGCATGTAATGGTGGGTGATCATAAAATTGCTTTCATTTGATGACTGATGGCCTTGATAACAGCTAAGAATACTAAGACAAGTGTTCAGAGGAAGAGCATAGGATGGGGATGAATGACTGGGCAATGTCAACTTTTAGGCAGTAGGTAGAGAAAGTAGATCTGGGAAAGAAGGCAGAGAAGGCATAGAAACTCACAAAGAAAAATTCTCATGTACTCCAAAAAGAGGGGCCTATTCTCATGTTTAAATACTTTGGAAGTTGAGGGGTATGAACACAAGTCAGAAGACACTTCATTGGATAAGTAAGATGTTATTTATAAGCTTCATGGATAAGACAAAAGTCAATTTGCACTGGGTTAAGAAGTCGGGTATCATGGAAGGAAAACTGGATTGAGTCTCTCTTTCTCTGCCTTCCTCCCCGCCCCCAGTAAAGATAACTCTGGATTCTATTTGAGTCAGTGCCATCTTGTTCCAGTGCCAGAGTGATGGAAAAACATCTATAACATGTGCTAGCCTATAGAATAATGTGGAATTCCTTTTTAAAAAACTGACAGTAAACAAAAGTAAGAGGAATTAGCTGTGTGTTGGTTCCTAGCGCTATGTTAAACTAGGCCTGATGTGTACTTCTCTAACAGCAGCACTTGAGGGGTGGAGTCTGGAGAATTAGGAGTTCAAGGCCAGCCATGGCTATGTATTCAAGGCCAACCTGGGACATATGAGATCCTGTCTCAAAAACCAAAATATGTACCTCTTCCTTTGTGTCTAGTGGTTAGGACTCAGCAATTTTCTCAGTGTGTGCTAGAGTAGTTAATGTGCTAAATTAGTTTTAAGCAATAGTTCTAAATAGCACTTTTACTTATAAAAAAGTGATTTGGCAGTTGACGTTGCATAGTGTCCAAGCATCTGTCAAGATCAAGGCCCAGGGATATTCTATTCACTACCTATCTGGTTATAGTAGCCCTTTATTATAAATTAAATTATAATGTCTATCATGTTTTCACAGACTGAATATATATTAAGAATGAGAACAAAGTCAAGAAGAAATCCTAGCTGATTTAGAAGTTGCTCTTTCACTTGTTCCACACCTTTAATAACCATAACCATTAAGAGCAGCCTCTCTATCTGTTCTTGTCTCTGTCTCTTTCTCCCTCTGTGTTGCTGGGGATAAAACTCCAGGCCTTACACATGTTAGGCAAGTGGTCCACCACTGTAGTATACTTCCAACTCAACAATAACAATTTAAAGCATATATCAAGTACTAGTCACCAAGATTGAAATTATACTGTCTCTGTAGTTTCTTTCCATTCTCAGTATATGGTTAAATACAGGCTTCAACAACCAAGAGGCTGCTCAAACCCCACTAATAATAAGTGACGCAAGCAGGGTTAAAATGAAAACTCCGTCAGTTCTTTACTCTTTGAGTGCTTAATTGGCTCATATTGGTTTGCTCCGTGAACATTACATTCAGCCTCTGGGTAGATGGAAGAAATGTAATATATGACAAAGGATAGATATTTATTAGTCAGGAGGATTTGGTTTTAAATAGCAGAAACCATCATGTATTAGCTTAAACAAAGGGGTACTTACTGAAAAAATAATGCTATACTTCAGGAAAAATATGAGCAACCAGACTTCCAACAACAACAGAAAACAAGACAATTTCTGAATTTGTAAGATCTCTCGTCTTTTCTTTGTTTCCTGGGGCATTTGCTACATAGTGCCATATTACTATGATGTGTAAATAAAAACAGCCTGACTCTTAGCATCCATTTTAAGGCCAAAAGCAAACCCTGAGAACCTTTCAAAACTGTGTTCTTAAGTGGGCTCACTCTTTTATTTCTTTTATTTCAGTTTATCCAGCATGAAATGGGGAGGGGAAAGGCAGAAGAATTTGTCTTAGAAGATTAGGTTCCTTCCAACCCTTACTGACCTAGAATATCACATAAACAACCACAAACAGACATTATCAATTTAATCCCTATTGTTTGCAGCACGAATGAGAAAAATCCTAATTGCTTCCAACAAATATGCAAAGCATACACACTCACACTCAACATTGTTTTTGACTGAGGGCAAGGAAGGGTCATGAGGGAGTAAGGCTATATGCCCAGGTCACAAGAGAAGCACAAGGCTCAGTGAGCTTGTCTACATGATGAACAAACTAAGATAGGATTCACTTTCTGGTTATAAGGTTAGTTAAGTAAAAGTCATTTGTCCAGAGTATGTCCATACTGTAGAAATCATTCCTATGCTTCCCCTTTCTTGCTTTGATTTTGTTTTTCCACCATTACACTACTTTTCTCTCAGTTCTCTTTGTCTCATTGACCTGTAGCTCAAATTCTTGAGAAAAAAAAAATGTATATGCTGACAGTGGCTTCTAGGAGACCAACTGGGAAGAGAGTGTGTAGTTCGTTCCATTACCTGTGTTCAGGGAACAGGGTGGTATTTTATATACAAGGCTACAAATGTAGCTTATAGATCATGTCTAAGAGAAGTTCTCAGAGAACAACAAAATTGGGGAAAATGACAAACTAGACAATATTTTCAAATAACACCATGCTAGAAAATCCATTGTATACGATGTGGAATAGCGATTTTTTTTTTTTATGGTGCTGGGGACGAAGCACAGGGCCCCAAACATGTATGCTAGACAAGCTCCTGGTTAATGGGCAAAATCACCCAACTTTTCTCTTTTTGACATGTTCTACTGGAACAAAAGAATGGCCAAAGCCTTCAGAGAAAGAGAAATTTCAGACTGACTCTTTGACTCTTTTCAGTATAGTCTTCATAAGATAATCTTCTAGCTAGGAAGTTTTCTCTGCTACTTTCCCAGAAGGGGAAATACCTTAGGTCTAAAGGAGAAGCAGTGGTTAAGTAGGCAGTCAGGAAAGAAAGAATTTTTCACAGAAGAAAATAAGAACTTTGGCAAGAAGGAGTGTATTAGTTACTTTTCTGTTGCTGTGATAGAAACACCATGACCAAAGGAACTTATAAAAGGAAGAGTTTATTTGAGCTTACGGTTCCAGGGGAATTACAGTCCATCATGGAAGAGAGGCATGGTGGCAAGATGTGTCTGGAGCAGAAGCTAAGCTCTCACATTTTCAAGCAGGCACAAGAAGCAAGAGAGCAACTTGAGCTCCAGCAAGGCTTAAGAACTCTCTAAGCCCATTCCCTGTTATGTGCTTCCTCTAGCATAACCATACCTTTTAAGACCTCCCAAAACAGCCCCACCAACTGGGGACCAAATGTTCAAATATTTGGAGCCCATGAGGGACAACTGTTTTGAAGGCCAGTCTGCTGATAAAGATAATAAAAGGTCTATTAAGTTATTACACGACACATCCCCACAGCACTGTTCCAGGTCACATAGTCACTTAGCAACCTCATGATTTTAATTTTGTCTATGTGATTGCATAGGTACGGTGGGGCTCCTCTTCTTGAGGCTAAGCCTCATATAGTTTTGCTCACTATTCTGTTCCCACAACATGAACTCAGTGCCTACTTCCTACTCGAGAAGCCTGGAGAAAGAGGGAAGTTCAAAATGGAATAGATGGACTAGGCACCATGGGCTCAAATTCTTGTTATCTCCAGAACTACTATTCTTTGTAGGCAAAATTTTCACAAATTTCTCCTTTTCTTCATTTGACACAAACTTATAAAGGAATTGTTGTACAACAGTTTTCCTCTGAGTGTGTACGTGTGTGGTGGCAAATGGACAGAAAGAGCTTGATCCAATATTTGACACATGAACAGCTGTAAGTATAAATTTAAGAAGTAATTTTTGCCAAATCTGATTTTATTCTTTTATGTGTTATAGGAGAGCTAAAGGAACCAAATAAAACAATTCCTAAATGCATATTTACAGCACTACCTCTGATAACTGTGGTTTATTTACTGGCTAACGTTTCCTATCTGACGGTTCTGACGCCCAGGGAAATTCTCTCCTCAGGTTTGTACACAAATTACAAGACAGTAAATAAAGTACAGGCCTTTCAGCACAGCCTTAGTGTCACGTTGCCACTCAGAACTGCTCTGTACTGTCCATTAGTCAATATGGAAAGTCAACTCATAATTTTATAATATCAGCATGACAATATGATTTGGCTTAGAAAGGAGATTTATGTTCAAGCATGACTATGCATTGTCTGATAATATGGAAAAAGGTACGTACAGTGCTGGTGGAGGACACAGACCAGATTCAGAACAGTAGTTATTGTTTACATGATCTCAGCAGTGACACTCTGCAGTCAGTACTTAGACCTGCTAAAACTTTCAGAATTCTTGATTTTCAATAGCTTAGGTGACACTAAGATTCATAAATTTCATATTCAACATTTTAGCAGTTGAATGAATAAACACTAAAGGTCAATTGACTAAAATTAATACAAAAATGTTTATATTAAACTACTAAAATTTGTGCTGGCAAAGGATCATGAATACATTAAAACTCTTAAAGCCTAAATTATATAATGAAAAATGAAAGACTATGCCACATATTCTAACACCTGACTGTAACCCAACAATTGGGAGGCTGAGTCAGGAAGATAGTGAGTTTGAGGCCATCCTGCCTACATGGTCACTCTGTATTTAAAAAAAAATAAATCTCATGAAATAAACATGCATTTAAAAAAACAGATTAAAAGGATGCAAGGAAATTAGAAAATAAATGAAAAACATGGAAAATGGACAACCATCTCCTAGGGTAAACCTATCACCAGGAATTTTGGAGATGAATCTGTTTAGAACAACAGATTAATTCCTGTTTTGGTGGATGTTTAAGGCACTGGAGGTAAATATAAGGGAAAAATTTTAAATACACCCTTTAATGCCAGGTATGGTGGCTCATGCCTTTAATCTCAGCCCTTGAGAGGCAGGGGTAGGCAGTTCTCTGTGAGATCGAGGCCAATCCTGGTCCACATAGTGAATTCCAGGTGAACTGGGAATAAGGAGACCCTGTCAAAAAAATTATATATACGATGATACCTGTACATATATCTTTATTGGCATATAACTGCATATTTATATGGTATTATGTGATAATTCAGTACATTGTATACAATGTGTAATGATAAAGTCAGGGTGCTCAGTATTCCCATCTCCTTAAACATAATCATTTATTTATTTTGTGAAGTGTCAAACCTAAGGGAGGGTTTAAATATGATATAAAAACCATAGCAAATTACCACAGTTACAATGTGACTGCCCTACAGAATGCTGCCACATGGTGTGCCACATCAAATTTGATTCATTGAGTCTAGGAATCCTAGGGAAGAGAGAACAAGATAGAACCAAGCTTATTAGAAAGATACAATCAAGCATATCAGAAAGATGTGAACAATTTCTAAAGGAATATGGGGCTTCTATAATATGGTGTACATTATATGTTATGTTTTATTTGAGGCATACTGGAAAAAATTATTCCAAAGTTTGATAATAGTAGTTTCTGTGGTTTATGTAGCAAAGGAAGATATTCAATGTATCAGATCTCTGCCTTGTTTCTTCACTTATGGTTCCCTTAAGAAAATAAATATTCCTCATCATGTGTCAGTTCTACACCTGAGGAAAGAAGGGGCCCTTTAGAATGAGGATGTGTAAACAGCGTGCTGAGGAGCCCTGGCTCTCGCTTTTCCAGGCTGAAGACCGCAGAATTCCTGAAGCCCTGCTGACATGCTATTTACAGGAGTGCTCACCTTGGTGTTCTCAAGGTTTCTAAGCTACACTTAAGACCAAGGAATATAGACAAAGGGAAAACAGGAAATGAGTTGTGTGGAAACAGGCACTAAGAAAGTTTCTTGTTCAGATACAGCCTGTAGGAAGATTGTCTCAAATACTGAGGTGTGGTTAAGAAGTTTGAAATTCAAGTTCAGATTTTAGAATTATTTATTGGCAAATTGATATAATAGTTTTTGGACAATAGCTCTGTACAGCTGCTCTTATTTAAGAATGTATATAGTCACAATCCCACTTCTAAGAATTTAATCTGAAAGTAATTACATAATCATTAAGAATTGAAATAGTGGTTCTTTTGAGTTTCAAGAATATTGACTTTACTTAGGGATATCATGTACTAAATCATCTAACTTTTTATTATTTTTATTACACATTTTTGGGGGAACTCAGTCTTGCTATATCCCCAGGCAAACTTGAAGCTAAGAGCCTCCCAACTCTACCTTCCAAGTGCTGTCATTACAGGCATGTGATACCAAGTATAGCTTTAAAGCACATTGTCTATCAGCAAGAAATGGAAACAGCCAAAAGTTTATCAATACAGAGTAGATAGCCCAGCATTCCCTGTCCACCTTCCTAGCTCTCAGGTCTACTTGAATCATGCAGCTCCATGCTACTCCAGACTTGTGAGTTCCCCAACCCCAGCATTCCCTGTCTACTGTGGCACATCCCAGGCATACTCTGGTCACACACCCAGTACACCCACCAGACCTGTGAGTTCCCTGGCCCCACTGTTCTCTTTCCACTATCCCATTCCCCCAGGCTTGGTGTGGGTCACCAAATCTTCCTTTGCACCTGCCCACATTAATCAGTTCTACAGAACTTCTCCTGCCCTTGCAGCCATCTGCACACTTAAATTCATAACTGTGGTCATGCAGTCTGGGCATTTGCCCAGAGAAACTCAATCAAGAAATACGTTTGTACATTTTATTGGTTAGCACTGAATTGGAATCATCCAGTCCCTCCAATTAAAAATCAACACTGATCTGTCTGCGGCCCACTCACCTAGCAGCCATCCAGCCCACCCTGCCCATTTAGGAGACTTGGGTGTGTTCTGGAACCTCAGGCTTAGAAGTTGCACCTATCCTTAGCTGAAGTGAGACCACTTCTTACATCCCATTCACACAACAGAGGGGCCCCAAGGCTGAACACTAAGCACTACTTAGCTGGCCACAGTCTGACAAGTATATAACAGAATATTGAGAATGGACTAAAATAATTGAATATATGTGTACTAATATGTCAAGATACATTGGAAAGTGAACAAAAATAGGCGTAAGCACTCAATCACACAAGTACCTCCAGACACGCATGTGCACTCAGAGAACCCAAATACATGTACAAATACACAATCCTCATAAATGCTAGAATGTTATAATTATAGGAAAACTTTGGGAAGGGATTAAAACCAATGTTAACAGTAGTTGCACTTAGAACACATTTCTGTGGGCTTACTGAAGATAGTCATTTACTTTTTATTTTGTAGGTTCAGTGCTACTCACTTTACTTTTTAACCAAATACATATATAATTTTTAGATGCAAAAAAATGGAAAGAAGTAAAACAAAGTAAAAAATTACTTATAGAACAGAAATAAGATTATATAGGAATGTCATGTATAATTTTTCCACCCAGTGCCAGCAGAGCTGCACAGATCTGTCTCTGTTTGTAAAATATCGCAGTTGTAGAATGCCCACTGAGAAAATGAAGGTGAATTTCCTTTGCAGAAGTGTACAGTGTGGAGGTGTGGGTGTCCAGAAGGAGCAACAGCAGTGTTTTATTTGAAATGAATAATTACTATGACAAAGAACATTTTTAAATAACACCCAGTATTGTACAGTAGTACTCAAGAGAAAAGTGAGGTCATGCCTAAGATTATTTAAAATAGGTTAGTAGCTGGGCAAGATAATGCCCACCTGTTATTCTAGTACTTAGCAAACTAAGACAAGAAGCTTGTCAGTTTGAGGCTAGCCCGAGCTACACAGAAGACCATGTCTCTAAACTAACAGCAAACTTTGGTTAAGAATAAATATCTTTATAACAAGAATCATTGATGGCATTTTAATTTTGTAACATTTGAAAAGTATGGTTTGCTGTGCATCAAAATACTGATGTACAAGGGACTCTCCTGAATATCAACTTCCTGTGCACAAAAATATAACTGCAAAGATCATCTACTTCCCAAGGACATTGGGCTCTGCTCATTCCACTGAAAACTGAGAACTTGTTTCTCTGTGATGGAATGATCTGCCCACAATATATCTACACAGTATAAATTGGACTCAAGGGAATTCCCATTAATGATGGATATTTTTCTCTATTGCTCATTTTAATACCAAATCTCATGTTAAATCACTGTTCACCTTGAAACATAAAGAACAACAAAAATCACACACACACACACACACACACACACACACACACGCACACACACACCAACCAGAATGTTCTACAGTGGTTGCAAGGTTTCTCAGTTTCGACACCATCAACATTTTGACCACATGATTTTTGCTTTGGGCTTCTTGGCATTGAACTCAGGGCCTCACATATGATAGGAATGTTCTCTGCCATTGAATTATATTCCCAGTCCTAAACAATATAATTCTTTTAGGTGGTCCTGAGTATCTTAGGATGTTTATCAGCATCCTTGGCTGCTACCTGCTAGGAGGCCAATAGCAAACTGTTACCTCTCCAGTTGTGGGAAATCAGACAAGTCTCCAAATACTAGCACATGACCCCTGAGGAGCAAAGCCACCTTTAGTTGGGAACCAAAGATCTAAAGCTTAGATGAGTCTCAAACGTCATAAATATTTTTATCTGTTTGTGGTTTATATTCATTTTGTTAATATTTTTAAATGTAATGTGAGTTGAGTGGGTCTCATTTGTCTGTCAGCAGTGTTATGTCATGCTTTCCTCACTTTGGGTATATCTATCAACATTCTGATGCTAATTTTAGAAAATAAGTGTTCATGCCTTCAGTATCCATTCAGAATAACCAATGCATTTCTGAAGTATTTATTGAAAACTCACATATGGTGACTATGAGTGGACTACTTATTTTATAGGAAGAAATAAAGGACCTTTACCCTAAAAATTCCTGGTCTTTGGAGTGAGACATAAAGTAACAATTATCAATGATGTACTGCAATAGGCTAAAATGGATATGTGCTTAAGATGTTACTTAAGCGTAAAACAATAAAATAACAGTTTACTTTTATCAATGACTATTTGGATTTTATGTGTTTTCTGTGAAATATTATTATTTAAACATTTACTATTAGATACTCTTTCTTAACACACTTCTTTTCATATATTTCTTTGCAGATGCTGTGGCTATTACGTGGACTGACAGAGTCATCCCCCAGTTAACATGGATTGTTCCTTTTGCTATTTCTCTCTCCTTATTTAGCAACCTTGTGATTACTGTACTTGAATCAGCAAGAGTGACATACATTGCAGGCCAGCAAGGCCAACTGCCTTTGATATTTAGAACACTTAATATTCACTCCTCTCCCTTTATAGCTGTGCTATTAAACGTCAGTATGGGATCCATTGTAATTGTCTTGACAAACCTAATTGAACTGATAAACTATCTTTATTTTATGGATTCCATTTGGACCATGTTGTCAATGATAGGAATACTGAAACTGAGGTACCAGGAGCCTAATCTATACCGACCTTATAAGGTAAAAACGGGTTGGGTAAACTTTCTCTGTATGAAATAAAAGATACTATATACAACTATATTTAGAAACTAAATTCAGAAGATGTACAAGTATCTATGTTACTCAATGAATTGTGAAAAAAATAAGGATAACCTAGTCTTATTTTTTTTTGACTAGGTCTTAATCAATATAAAATCTCTTAGGTTCCATTTAAGAGTTTGCTAGAGAGAAAGATGCTTCTTTGGGTGATGAGACAGATCATCATGAGACTTTTGACCTGAGATTACTTGGTTTATTTATGTGGCTACTTATGCATGCAGTATCTTCTACACTTAAGACCAGATTTAGCAAGTAAGAAATAAGAGAGGCAGTCAAGCCATGAATGATGATCATTATTCTGAAATACCAAATTCTTTTGATCATCAGCAAATCCCATCTCTTCAACTTTACTACTTGTAAACTTTCAATCTAGGTTAAGAAATATTTCATGATAAAGGAGATGGTTCTTATATCATAGAAAATGAAATACAGGGCTGCAGAGATTGCTCAGTGGTTAAGATCACTGACTTCTCTTGCAGAGGATCTGGGTTCAGTTCCCAACACCCACATGGTGGCTAACAACCATGTGTAACTCCAGTTCTAGGGAATCCAGTGCCCTATTCTGATCTCCACAGGCATTGCACAACATGGGTGCACTTACATACATGTAGGCAATACACTTATACACATAATATAAAAATAATAAATAAATAGAAAAAGAAATACAAAGCTGAAGCGATGGCTCAGTGGATAAAGCACTTGTTCAAACATGAGGAACAGAATTTGGATCCCTCGAACCAATATAAAATCTTGACAGGCACGTAGTATGAGCACTCAGGAGACAACAACAAGGCATCCCAGGGGGAGCTGGCTAGCTAGCTAATCAATGAACTCTGGGCTCAGTTGAGAGACTCTTCCTCAATAAAGTGAAGCGTGGTTAAGGAAGACAGCCAATATCAACCTCAGGCTTACACACACCCACATACATGTGTGCATACCTGTACATACACAGGCTCCCACACACATGCAAATACACAGACACATACACCACATACAAAAATAAAAAAGTAAATAAATAAGCAAAAACTTGGAGCATGAGGATATAATTGGGAGGAAAGGTCTATCGGAATAATGAAATACTCTTGATTGGATACTCTTGATTGCATGTTCATATCTCTGTTTGGATTATCATCTTTAATTCTTAGTAATACAAAAGTTGAACACCCCTGCCTATTATACCCATAATAGAGAGGAAGAAACAGGTTTATGGGAGCAGTGTCACTTGCTCACTTGCCCAAGCTGACTCAGCATGGAGTAGAGTCAAGATTCAAATCTCAGCAGTCTCTTTGGGGTTTCTGACTCTCAAGTCTACAGTATAAACAAGAACACTGAAAGGAAGCAATGCCCTTGTCACTAGCCTTGTTAATTTACAACCATCTTTCATTTTCATCCTCCCATCTGCAGCTTCCATCCAGCCGTCACTTAACTCTTGATACTTGAGTACTCATAGTAAAGTGACTATACTTTAGGCACCTTCCTAGGTCCCTTGGGTACAGAAGTAACACTTAGCTTCTGTCCTTAGGTAGGCTATCGTGTATTTGGACAGTCAGGTGAACCTCAAATCATAATACACTAATTGCTAATTGGTGATAGCTAAAGGATGTTCAGAAAACTCTTGGGGGAGGGAGGGTATGATCTAGTGTAGGGTTGATATCCATGGTGTCCTCGGGTGCTTCCCAGCGGTAGTTCTCCTAGTTCCACACCTTCTATCTTTTAAAATATGTTGCTTCTCTGCTGTTTTCTGGCCCATACCTACATTACATCACTAATACTAAATAGATATAATTTAAAGAATGCTATGAATTGCTAATAGATGTATAGTACACATCTATTATTATTACATAGATGTGTAGTATAAAGTTATCACTAAGAGCTCAGGCTCAAGTCTTTATCCTCAGCTTTTTTTTCTGACCTTCCTCTTATTATTTGATCTCTGACCCTCAGTTCTTTCAACATCTACAGTGATAAGCCCTCCTCTGAAAGTTGGCTGGATTATAAAGGAAAGGCATGCAAAAAGTCTAGGGTATGACTTTAATGGCTATTATTTTTATACTATCATCCAACTTTTATTCACTCCAAAAGGAAGGCAAGGGTAACCTTAAGAGGAAATAATCAAATTTTTCGTCTGCCATCATGAGAGCTTTTTTTTCTTCTCTCAATTATTTGATAAAGAATATGAGCTGTGAGATGGTGGGTTTGTCTTTCTCACAGTATTTTAAAAATTGGGAAATTGTTGATTATGTCTCAAATGAATGGCCATCTCATTAAAAGTTTTCTTAAAATGCTGGGCGTGGTGGCACACACCTTTAATCCCAGCACTCGGGAAGCAGAGGCAGGCAGATCTCTGTGAGTTCAAGGCCAGCCTGGTCTACATAGTGAGTTCCAGGACAGCTGGGGCTACAGGGAGATTTATGGTATAAATTCATGTCTCTTACAAAATATATTAAAAATAACTACCTAGTACTGGGTGTTGTGATACATGCCTCTAATCCAAGCTATTTGAGAAAGTAAGGCAAGAAGATCATGAGTTCAGGGCCAATCAGAGCTACTTAGTAAGACCCTGTCTCAATAAAAAAAGTACTGTCTACTAAATTTTCTCTGTAGGTTGGGTGATATTAAGTATAATATACTTAAAATATACTTATATTCCTAACACAAAGCAGGTATGAAAGATGGACCTGATTTATAACAAAACAAAAAATAAAACCAACAAAAATCAGAACTGTTTGGGTAAAAGCTTTTTGCCCTGATTTTTTTCTCCTAAAGGGAATCTTCAGCATTTACTTTTACTGTGTCATTTGAGTCCGGAGAATCTTTCTCTAACTGTGGTGATCATTCAATACTGCATTAGAGCAGATGCCTGGATAAAAACAGCTTGGCTTTTAGCACTCATCTTGGCCAAGAAGAACCTGAACTGCTCTGAACACCTGTTCCTTCATATCTCTTTCAGAACTGTACTTCTGGACAAAGGCTTCCCTCTCTCTTTTATTGAAACAATATATCCATCATGAAGTAAAAGACCGGCTGTCTTATCAGAGGATTATATTCCTTTTGACCCCTATTTCCTAGGAGAGCACGCACATAGCTGCAAGCAGATGCTATCCATTTACTCCTATCTATTGTTTGCAATAGAAATAGGAAAATCTGTTGCTTCCAAAAATATCTGCTGTTTATAGTACTTGATATGTAAAACATACACATGTTCATACATTATTCTGGGTCAAAAGTAAGGAAGAGTTATAAGGGATTAAAACTATGTTTAGGTTACAAAGAGAGCTCATTATAAACATCTAAGATAAGATTAACTTTTTGATTGCAAGGCTAGGTAAAAGTCATGCACCCAGAACATTTCTATATTGTAAAAGTCATTCCTACATATAACTTGATAACTTATTTGGCCTGTTTTCTATTATTAACTTCATCTTATTTTGCTTACAGAAATATTCAGCTATGCTACATGGATTTTCACATCTACTTGTTTTAATTTTTCTTTTTTCAGGTGTTTTTACCATTCACCTTCATAACAATAGCCATCTGTCTATGCTTGGTTTTGATACCACTGGTCAAATCTCCAAACATGCATTACATCTACGTGCTCATCTTCCTCCTCAGTGGGCTGCTGTTTCACATACCATTGATACACTTTAAGTTGAAGTTGATTTGGTTTGAAAAGATAACTTGCTACCTGCAATTACTGTTTAATATTTGCATCCCAGATGTGTCTGATGAGCTTGTGTCAGAAGTAGAAGCTTGAAAAATAAAAGCCTTCTAAAAACACACCAAGTTCCAAAGACAGAATATTAATGATGGCAACTTTCAAATCTGAAGTTATGTATATAAAAGTACACAGGAAATTCCTGGCTTTAAAATTATAGAAAAGGTTATGCTTAAATGAAGCTCTGTTTGATTTTTTTAAAACCAGTGTTAAATCTAGTTGGTATCGCTCCATGTATTGATGATGTCTTTCCCATTCTTTCATTTATTTCTGTCTCATCAGTTTTCTACTGAATTTCTAGTGTTTTTAAAATAAATATTGATAACTTAAAAATTTGAAAAAGCATTCTTTCTGTTTTTTTGTGTTGATTTGAAGATAAAAAGATTAATTCTATTTGTCCTGTTTGCTTTTCTTTTTTAATGGCATTCTTTTAAGATAATGGGTATTTTTGTTACTGTTTTTCTACTGGGAGAAGTTGAGACAACCTCTATCCCAAGCTGACATGGAACTCTTTATGCAACCCAAACATGACCTTGAATTTCTGATCCTCCTGCCTCCTCCCTCCAAGTACTGGAACTGTGGTCATGCACCAGCATACCCAGTACTCTCAGCCTTCCTAGTACTGAGAACTCACCACATGGATATTTAGTTTCCCTTGAGTGCCTCTTGTAAAATCCCAATGTACTTTCAAAATCACTATTACTATCTTCATTTGACTAAAAAGGGACTCACCTGCAATCTGCATGTGACTATTTGTATAAAATATGTCTGAGAGCTGTGAGGATAACATTCCAGTGGTCATATTCAGCAAGTATAATTCATCATAAAAATGTCTTCAACTTAAGAAGAGAGTTTCAAAGGATTCTGGATTTGGAGATGTTCTTTCAGAAGGCAAAGAGGCAATGTGGAATGATGCTAAGCTGCTTTTGTTAACCAGCTCTATTCTTCATATCTTTTTGCCTCACAGGTGACAGTTATGAAATTTGAGTATGGTTAATCTATTTATCTTTCTTCCTTTCTTCTTCTCCTCTTCCTTCCTTCCTTTTTTTTCTTTCTTTCTGGGTCTGAATCAGACTGGCCTTGAGCTTCTGGGCTCATATGATCTTCATACATCAGCTTCTCAGTAGCTGGGACAGCAGGTGAGTACCACAGTGCCTAGCTTGACACTCATGGTCAATTTTATGTGTTCACCTGCCCAGGTTGCAGTGCTCAGACATTTGGTTAAACATTATTCATGATTTTACAAGATCATTTTATATGAGATTAACATTTAAACAGGTGGACTTTGAGTAAACCAATGTTCCCCTCTAATGTGGGTGGGCCTCATCCTTGCAGTTAAACACTGTACCTTCATAGAATAAAGTCTGACCCATTACCCCACCTCTTTTGGAAGGAGGGAATCATCTGAATATTACTTTTAACCCTTCTTGAATTTCTAACCAGCTCACACTGCCTGTGCTTGCCAGGCCCCATAATCCTATGAGCCATTTTCTAGGGGGAAAAAAAAAAACCTCCCTTTACCTCTATGTACACTCCCACTGGTTCTGTTTCTCTGGAGAACCCTGTCTAATATGCCTGGACTTCTCAGTTAAATTAGATATCATCTTGTTGCCTACTAAAGACACTCTTTTGTTAAACAGCATTCAAATGTAATCAGTTACATATTCAAGTTAGCTAGATGGATATGTATATTCATGCCATGTTTATTTACTAAGACAGTTGTTCATGTAGGCCTGAGGATCAATATTTCCCTCAACTGGAACCTCCATTGCATTTATACAACAGCATGGCTTTCCCCTTCCTACGAGTTTTCAACACAATGTGTGGTAAAAGAAAATTCTTGAGTTTAATTCCACAAACATTACTCATATTTTTGTAGATTCATGATCAAAGCTTCAGATTCTATAGATATAAAGACATTTAAATTGCAGGTGAGAAGAACCACAGACATGATATCAGCATTAAAAGAAAACTTAGATGCCTAATTCACCTCCACAAAATATCTCTATTTGTACACCTTTCAAGGTGGGGAATCACAACTTGTTAAAGATGCTGGTCCTATCTTTGGACAACATCACCTTTCCACAGCTTTGCCTAACATGAAGCTGCAATATAAATAGTGTCTCCCTACTGGGAAAGTCTAACACTTGTTCACCTGTTTTCCACTCAGATATTTGGCAACACCATTTCATGGCTCTAGGTCTCATTCAGATCAAGATCTCCCAGTATTCAAGAGTTGTTTCTTTTGAAAGCCTTGATCTCCAAATGTTTATCTGTAAAACATGTAGTCTTTATAGGTATGGTCTGACTGTGGCAGTAGAGTAGAGCTATCACCTGCCTTATTCTAAATTCTGTAGCACTACTATACACCAATACCTCCTAAACTATTCCTAGGAGACATCTATTCTAAGATAGGGTGGGATAAATTAGGCAAGTGTGAAAACCAATACAATTTCTCCAGGAAACTTTTGTCCCACAACAAATTAACAAGTTGTTGACTGATGGAGCAAAAACAATGTTTTACTTGTTTTTCCAGGGAAATTAAAACATGGATTTCATATAGTTTGGAAGTGTGTGTTGCTGTGTGATGTGTGTGTGTGTGTGTGTGTGTGTGTGTGTGTGTGCGCACATGAGACCAGAGGTCTTTCTCTATCACTCACCTTATATTTTGAGGCAGGGTCTCTCATTTAACCTGAAACCCATCAAATAGCCAGACTGGTTGAGCAGCGAGCCCCCAGGCCCTCCATCTTGGCCTCCCAGAGATGGAATTACAGGCATGTGCTGTGGTGCCTGACTCTTTATATACATTATGGGGTTCCAAAGGGTCCTCATACTTGCTTAGCAATAACTTTACCCACTGAGGCATCCCCCACTTCCTTCATATAGGTGATAGACTTTATATTATTTGGGGTAATAAGGTCTTATAGAATATTTACAGAGTAACTTTTTGCTTTCCAATTCCTTTTGTGCCACTCCTGAACACCAATAATTCACCTTTCTGTCATGTTTACTTGGAGAGGAGTTTGGCTTGAAACTATCAAGAATTCTTTTAATATCAGATAAAAGTTTAATTACTAGGATGGGGGTTAATGTCACACATCTGAATTAAGGGCCCTGTGGATATTAATCAGTTGTGTGACCATAATGTAAAATTGAAGAATAATTCCATCCCTAATGTGGATACAGCTCCTTAGAAGTGTTACGTTTCATTTATTCCATGAAATTCACAAAGCAGATACACTGAGAAGCACAGGCCTCCTTTCCTTCCAGAGCAGTTGTAAATAGCTCTCTGAGAGCTGGAGTGCAACTCAATGTCAATGTATTTCTCTAAAATGCACATGGCTCCAAGTTTGGTCCCTAGCAATGCAAAAGAAATTTAAAAAGTTGTTTTGCTAGAGTTATCTCATTGATTATCACAAATTTGGTGACTTAAAAAATACAGAAAATTATTCTCTCACAAAAAAATCAGAATCAAAAGGAATGTTATTTTGGCCTATGCTTATATAAAAAAAAAGAGTAACATCTCAGGGCATGGTGGTACACACCTTTAGTTTTTCACTGGGGAGGCAGAGGCAGGTGGCTCTCTGTAAGATTGAGGTCAGCCTGGTCTACATGAGTTCCAGACCAGTTGGGGCTAGAGAGACCCTGACTCAAAAGTATTCAAAAAAAATAATAAATTGAATAATTCTGAATAAATGATTACTACTGCTTCTAAATAGGGGGAGAGAGAAAAGACCAGAATTAGGCGTTGGCATGCTGGTTTCCTTGGCAGGTTCTGTTGCCTGCCTCTGTCCTAAAGTGTGGTGGCTGCAATCCTTGGTGCTTCTGTGCTTGTGGCTCTATCACCCCTGAGGTGGTTTGAATGAGAATGTCTCCCATAGGCTCCAAGTATTCGGACATTTTGTGCCCAGTTGGTGGAGCTGTTTTGGAAGGTCTTAGACCATGTGACCGTTCTGGAAGAAGCATGTCCCTGGGGGTTGGCTTAGAGAGTTCTTAAGCCTTGCTGAATTTCCAGTCATTTGCTCTGCTTCCCGTGCCTGCTTGAAGATGTGAGTATAGTACAATGAGATCCACCCCATAGAAACCCTGGGACACAGAATTTAAAATAACAATCATAAACATGATCATAGAACTAAACAACTTTAAAGAACACGCAAACAACTTAAAGAACACAAAGAGGATAGGAATAAACTTCTGACTGAAGCTCAAGAAAATGAGAATATATGGCCGAATGAAATGACAGAAACAATTCAGGACTTGAAAAGTGAATTCACGAAAAAGACAGAAATATTGAATAAAACTCAAGCCGAAATGAAGATGGAACTGAAAATGTCAATAAGTCAATTTGAAACTACAGGAGAAAGCCTCACAAGTAGAATGAATGAAATAGAAAACAAAGACTGGATGACAAACTTGAAGAACTGAACTCCTTGAGCAAAGACTATGAAAAAATTAAAAACACAGGAATGGAATATCAGAAAATGTGGGACACAATGAAATAACCAAATCTGTATCATAGACAAAGAGGAAGAAGAGTCTCAGGTCAGTGGCATTGAGCAGCTCTTCAACAAAATTAGAGGAGAAAAATACCCCAAATTAAGGAAAGTCATACATATACAGATACAAAAAGCACACAGAACACCAATTAGACATCTGTCATGGCCCCAAACAAATGTAATTTCTTACTGTGTGCTAAGTATGGATCCTTATACTGATAGACACATATACCTGTCACCACTCATCAAAGAAGTTTCTTTATGCAACAAATGGAGACTATTACAGAATTCTGCAACTGGCCACACAGAGAGAACACATGTCTGTGAGATGGCCAGCTATAAGTGACACATCAATAATGTAATTTCTACACCTAAAGTTCAGGAAACAGAACAGAACAGGGAGTAGAGAGAATATTAATGCATCCCCCAACTTTCACCAGTGAAGTTTCCTCATGCAGCAAAGGGTGATGAATACAGAAGGTCACAACTGACCAAAATGTCCCTGGGTAGGACTCTTATATTAAGCATCACCCACCCAGGGCTCAGGGATCATTGTGAAAAAGGAGGGAGGGCAGAAAGAATGTAAGAGCCAGGCATAGTAGATGACCACAAGGAAACAGAGTCTCCTAGGCTCCTGGGACCTTGCTCATATGAACTTAGAGCACTGGTGTCAGTATGCCCAAGTCCCATGCAAACTCAATCAGACAGAAAACCCAGCATGGACCTGGGGAAATGAGCAGGAGGCCCAAACCCTAGCCAAGAAACTGTTAGCAGCTGATCACTGATGAGTGAAGGGAGAATTTGTCTTCTTTCAGGGAGTGATACTCGACAGGCTAGACAGGCTGCAGTGGATGAACTCATACCAAGGGACATCTGGGTATACAAACGTGGCTCAATAGGCCTTAACATATATGACAGAATGCATGAAATCTGGTGGGTGGACTATGGGTTCAGATTTGGGAGAAAGGTATAAATAGGATTAGGATATTTTTGTATGAAATGCACAAAAATTCAATAAAAATATACATTAAAAAATAAACAGTTTGTACAGAAAAATAAAAGACTTCAAGACATCTTGAGGCCAAGTGGATCCAGTATAGACTCCAGAAGGAGAACAGAATTTTTTTCCCTCCTAGGCTTATCTGAGTCCCTCTGAAAATGCCCCATAGATAAATTCCCTTATAGCTGCCTGCATTACTTGGTTCCTGTTTCACAACCATGTATGCGTTTGCTGTTTCCCTGCCAACACAGCCACTTCCTTTATGCAGAGTAAAAAACAGCAACTCTTTTCTGCATATATCAGAACATGGAATCTCACCAGCACAGTACTACACAGAGCAGGCTCCTGATCTCACCATGCCTGACCCTGACTCCTGTCTACAGACTCCTCACTGTGCCGTGCTACTGACCCTCCTTCTGGGATTCACAGGTAAGCATGTACCAAGAGTAGACTCTTCCCCCTCCCTTTAGGCCATCGTTGCCCATGGAATTCAGGGTCTCCAGGTAAACAATGGAATTGCCACAGGAGAGGAGATCAGGATATAATCTGGTGGGTATAATTCATCAATTGAAGCTGGTGACCAGAAGCATCCTATCAGATGATGCCTCAAAAATCAATAATTATTTATATTTTTGCAATATAAAATTCCTTTCAGGAGAATCTCATATAAATCTTGTAGCTCTCAAGGCTCAGAGCTTTGGAGCTGGTTCCAAAGCAGCTGATGGGGCTGCCTGGCTCTATCCCTGAGGATGCCAAGCCTGACATGTTGGCTATGTGACACTGGTAGTGGTGAATTGCCTCTGGCAATGCACAGCCACCCCCTATTTCAGTTGATTTCCTCATTTTGCCCTCCATCCTGCTCTTTCTCATCCATGACCTGAGTCTTCTCGCTTCCTCTTTGACAGGTTGTATGCTTTTTTTCCTCTTAATGATGCCTGTGTTTCATTGTTAGGTTTGCCATGAGAAGTACCATGGGCTGAGTGACTAAAATAACAGAAAATTGTTTCCTCATAATTCTGGAGTCTGGAAGCCCAGGGTCAAGGTGTTCACTGAACTACTTTCTTTTGTGGCCTCTCTTCTTGGTTTACAGATCCATCTTCTCCCTTTGTCTTCACACAGCCCATCGCTGTGTGACTTCACTTCTTAACATCTAGTCAATCAAGTTGGACTAAGACTTACCCCAATGACTTCAGCTTTTTAAAATTTTTTTAAATCGTATTTATGTATGTGTTTCTCTGTGTGTGAGTGCAGGTGCTTGAGGAATCCAGACCTGGAGATATAGACAATTGCAAACCACCCAGAATAGATGGGAATAGAACTCCGGTCCTCTGCAAGAGCAGTGCATTTTTTTTAAGGAACCAGTGAACTTTTATTCCAATGATTGCTCATAGTAAGAAAACACTTTGAGAACTGTTGTACATAGGATCTGAATTAATATGGATGTCCAAGAGAATACCAAATCATCCTTCCTATTAGAGGGTGTCTAGAGTCCAGATGGTGAGGTCAGAAGAGTTCTGACAGTGAATCTAAGGAGCCCACTTCCCTACCCAGCTATAATATCCCTAGTCCTCAAACAAGGATTGGCAGTGTGCAGCAAAGAGTACAGTCTCCACAGTGACTCTTAGCCTGTAGGGTAATAGCTACTACCATAGTGGGGAAGACCAGGTGAAAGCCTCTGAAATTCTCCTCCTGCCCAAATTTAGAGTAAAGCAAAAATAATATTGCATCTTCAGGGACAAAGGAGGAAGGAATTTCTTGCTTTTAAGAATTCAAAGAATACTAGCCAGGCATGGTGACACATGCTTGTAGTCCCAACACTTGGGTGGCAGAGGCAGGTGGCCTTCCTGGTCTACATAGTGAGTTCCAGGCCAGATGGGGCTACAGAGGGACACTGTCTCAAAAAAAGACCAAAAAAAAAAAAAGAATTAAAAAAATACAAAGATGACTGTCCTCTTCATTTCTGTGTTGAATTCACCAGAATGACCCCTGCAGAAAAAAAATAGATCAAGGGGCAAGCTCAACTAAGCAGTCTCTACAAGTCTAGCTAGGGTAGCGGATATACTGTCTTGGCTAAAGCAGATCACCACCACTTTAAATTCCACTCAGCATCTGCTTCCAGAGAAGCCAAATTGCAACAGAGAGCGGAGTTGATAATTTGTCCTTTTAAAAAAATTTTATTGAAATTTTTTGTATTTAATGTAGAAAATCATCTTTATATCCTCTTCCCCTTTAGCATCCTCCCATAGACCCCGCCCCCCAACACACGCACTGGAGTTCATACATTCTGTTATTTGTGTTAAGCCCCATCATGTAAAGTTAGCACCCCCAGAGGTCCCTCAGTGCAAGTCCATCCACTCAGATCCAGTCAGCCTATTTGAGTCCTTCCCTTTAAGAAGATCAGCTCTTCCTCACCCAGCAGTAATTAGCTGCCAATAATTCTTCAACTAAGACTAGGGCCTGGTGTTCATTTCCAAAGTTTTGTCCACAGTTTTTGTCTACTTAAGTTTGTGTGGGTCTTATGCATGCTGACACCAATGCTGTAGGTTTGTATGAGAAGGGCCCCAGGTGCCTATAGGACTATTTCCGTATGCTCATGCACCCCCTCCTTGGCTTTTACAATCTTTCCACCCTCTTTTCCAAAATGGTCCCTGAGCCCTGGGTGGCTGGATTTTAATAAGGGAGTCCTGTCTAAGGACCCACACTCTGAAGACTCCTATTCTCTGTGTTTTGGCCATTTGTGAACTTTTGTGTTCCTGGCCCTCTGTTGCATGAAGAAGCTTCATTGATGAGAGTCGAAAGATGAAGTAAAGCTTTTAACTGCTTAACTATCTTCCCAGCATGCTAACTACCTCTTGAAGGACCCCGAATCAAATATAGTCATATTATGAGATATGAAAGTTTGATATACAAAGTATAAGCAATTCATCTGTAACAGCTCCACACATGCCTTTAGTCCCCTTGACTTTTTGTTTTCCTTCTTCTTGAGACAGGCATGCTTATGATTCCTCAAAGGAGGCCTGTCCTCAGTTCTTTCTTTCATCACAAGGTCAACTGACTCCGTGACTTCAGGTCTGGCCTCAGCAGCCCTCAGACTCTCCACTTTTGTTCAACTGTTATGTTACCTAACCTCATAGGGGGAACAGGGCCTAACTTTTAAAATGTTCCCAATACTCTTTCACGGCACTAAAGGTTAGCAATAAGAAATGAGTCCTTCTGATGATTTTGGCATTTTGTTTTTAACTTGCAAAACCCTCACCATATCCCTGTGTAATAGCTATTTCTAATACCATATTCATGGGGGAGGAGGGACTGAAAAGAGAGAACTGCCTGTCATCATCTACATTGATCAATAGGGAAGCCCATATTAAAAACTAAACAAATCAACTTAAGATTTCGTTCTTCCCTTCTTCTCTCCCTTCCTTCCTCCCTTTCTTCCTGTTTGTAGCTGGGTTTAAGCTCACTCCATCATACTTATTAAAAATACAGTGACTTTTACATACCCTTAACCGCCAGCAATTTTGTCCTTTTAACTAAACTCTGCTGCTTGGCTTCTCAGTATAGGTTAAGTGTGGAAATAAATAGAAAATGCAGAAAACCAGATGAGTAAATTATTCCTCACACCACTGTGATTAATAACGAAGACAAATTGCTTACAGGAGGAAAAATTTATTTTGGCTCAGGCTTGGTGCCCAACAAGACAATAATTTGTAGAAAAGCCCTCACAGGCACACTCAGAAGCCTGCTTTACTCATCTCCACAATGATTTTCAGTTCAATCAAGTTGATGACCAAGATTAACCATCACAAATACACAGTTACTCAAGTGTGTGTACTCACATTCTTATAAATATTCAATTCTCTCTATATGTGTGTATGTGTGTTTTTGCATAGACATCTGTGTCAAATATTTTACTGAACGCAATGTTAAAATTTCCTTTAATCCTTAAGGATTACCTTAAAATCACCTTATCTAATAACACAGCATACCACACTTCAACATATGTTTCATGTGCATATAATCATGGGTATGTCTGTTTCTGCATGAATATCACTGTATACACAGAGACAAAATATCTGTTTATTTGAAATCATTGTTCCATCTACATGACATTTTTTCAGGACAGAAGCCGGATCTTCCCACCACCCAGCATCCTCTGACATTTTTTACTTCTCTTCTTATTTCTTAAACTTCCCCAAACTCTTAGCACAAATAAACTTCTCTCTTGGTAAAATAAAATTTCTCTCAAAGCAGAACGTCTGTCCATTATGACCTTAGACTTCCCTCTTGCATCTAGAGCAGAAGGAAGGAGATAGAAGATGAGTAATAACAATGCAACAGTTTGGGTCTGGGATGGTCCCCAGCAGCCGATGTAGCAATGCCTTGGTCTCTAGAGTGGCTTTGCTGAAAGATTGTTGAGACCTTTAAGGGAGTAGGTAGGTGGTCTTAGTGACTGAGGGCATGGCCTTGAAGAGGATTGTGGGTTTCTAGTCTATTCTCTCCCTCTCCCCTGGCCCCATCTTTCATGTCCTACCTATGCTTTGCCGTACATCTATTCCCCTATCATAATGAGTTACCTTCCCACAGGCCCAAAAGCAAGAGGACTGACCATGGATTAAAAGTTCTGAAACTGATCTGTAATAAAACTTCTATATTTGTTGGTTTATCTCAAGGATTTGATGCAGTACTGAGATACTAATACTAATGTTAGGCTTTAAGTTTGAAATGTACCCCAAAACTCATGTAGTGAAACCTTTGTTCCCAGCTAATCGCACTATTTTGAGAGATGACTGGGTGTTTAGATGGTAGGGTCTATCTGGGGAAGCAAGCCACTGGGGACATGCAATTGAAGGCACTATGTGGCCTGTAGCCATTCTTGCTTTTCTGCTTCCTGACACCCTGAGATGAGCATGATTAGTTCTACCACATTCTCTTGCCATGGTGAGCTTCTGCCTCAGGATGAGACCACAGCAATGGAGTGAGTCAACCCTCTAAACCCTGAACTGCCTGAAGCCATGAGCTAGAAGAAATATTCCCTCCTTTGAATTGTTGTTTTCAGCTATTTGTCAAATTAATTAAAACCTAACTGAGCAAGCTATAATTATGCCCACATCCACACCCTATCTAGGTCCAGATCCAGCTCTATAATCTATACCCAATCCCATGTTCCTATACAGATCACTTAACATCAGTGGAAGCCTCCATAGCTCAGCAAATCTACTGAGTAATAACGTTTCAGTTACTTATTCGCCAAGAGTCAGATGTGGGAAATGCTTGATGACTCCACCTCATGAGAGCATATATCTAAGGTAGGTAGATACTCTGATCACATGGTCACAGGTAAGAAAACAGAAGCAAAACCACAAAGAACTCCAAGGTATCTCAAGACAACTTCTGGAGCTGTGGTTTGAATTCAGGCAGTCTAACCACAGTCATGGATTAACAATCACTCTTTCCAGATACACTGATCTATCCCATGAACTTTCTGCAGTTCCATGAGTAGGTGTAAAGAAGGATGATGTAAGAACAGGGCCTGTGGCTTTCTTCTCCTGGGCTATTTAGTTTCCTCCTTGTGTGCAAAGAGCTAAGAAACCAATTTTCTATTTTTATGCAAAGTATCATTTTAAAATAAGTTTCACTGACACAGGGAGATGTCACACTGAGCAAATCATACATGGTGAAAATATTTATTGGATCCTTACTATGAGCCAAAAACTGTTATGTGGATACATGTCATATTCTACTAGGGAGAATGTCAATAATTAATAAAAACAAAAAAATAGGTAAGAACTATGACATTTTAAAAAGTGATGCTAGGGAAAATATGTCCAATTAGCTAAAGGAATAAGGAGCTAAAGGAAAGGGAGGCTTGCACCAGGTAGTAGAAGGAGGAGGAAAGCAGGGGGGTGTCATATTTTGGATAGATGCTGAAGTGGAGCTTCTGGGGTTTCTTGAAGGGTAGGACCTGGTGTGGGGGCAGATACCAAAGCTTGGGGAACTAACATCTGGAAGAATAAAACTGCTTCACCGGAAATCTATAAGCTGTGTCAGGAGCTTACTTTTGGACATATCACCCTGAGGTGTTTGTTTTCCTCACTGAGCTTCTCAAGCACATCACCAAAGAAGTTCAGAATCTTGTGGTATGAGACTGGGCTCCATTATCCATTCTAAGATTTATTAATATTTCTGTATTAACCACTTAGTTTCCCTGTTCCAATCTTCTTCAGACTTTAGAACCCAAACCACCCCAGGATCATGGCACATCAGTCACTCTCCTGTAATGACAATGAGCCTTTCTATGGGGGATCTGACATAAGATTCACATACACTCCCAATGTATGTTCTTGAATCATTGAACTCCTTATAATCTTTTCTTAAATTCCTTGCCAGGCATTTCATCAGTATAATGTCCTTTAGGATATGTTGTTAAAGAGTTATGTTGTTCTCTGGAAGGCTGATACCTTGTTATCCTCATGTTTCCTATGCTCTACAAGGAGATTTGTGCATCTGGTGGTTTATTTATCTCTGCTATACTGCTGAGGGGGCCTTCATAGTAAGTGCTCATAGTAAGTGCCTTTCTCCTGAAGATGTATCTTAGGGTGCCTTTATGCAGTGCTGATTGGGTTCCAGCCTAGCACTATAGTATAGTCTACCTGTGCTTTTTAGGTTACAAGTAATAACTTTGGCACAGTTCATTGCATGATCAAGTCAAAGGGAGTCTTAGTTTCTTAAACAACCCATATAGGTGTGGACATTGGTAACTTAGATAGGCATGCTGTACACAGCAGAGGGAATTGAGTTATAATGTGCAGACACTCCAACAGTGGGCGTTGTGACAATAGCTGGGTGATGTTTCCTCAGTAACTACAGAGATTAACTCGGCTGTGAAAAAGGGCCTTTGGCATAGGTAGCCCAAGGAAGAGAGAGGAGCACCTGCCCACAGACCAAGCAATGGTATGAGTCCTTGCTCAGAACAGAAAGAAGCAGCAGGGAGAAACACAGTGCCCCACCATGGCATTTGGTCAGAGCTTTGACAGCGCAGCATAGTGAGACATGGCATGGGAGTGGAGTAGTGGTCGACCTCCTGTTCTTAATCCTGGCATAAAACCCATGTAGATGGCCACATACCCTTTGGTAAAAAAGACCCAGTACCCATGCCTCTTAATCTTGAGGGTAACAAGCTGTATTCCCCTCTACACTGAAACACTAGTCTCTTGCATTGTAGGGTACTGGGCGGGCTTGAGTGTTGCTGTAATTGCTCTATTTGGGGAAAGATGAATATTAAAACTGAAATCCCTTGTACTAGTGTATGGAATGTCTTAGGGATCACAGAGATGGGAACAGGAAGGAGTTTTGGACCTTCTACCACCTCTCAAATACTCTGAATCCAGAAGTACCTCCTTTGTTAAGTTAGCACATAGCTACTACAGCCTGGAAGCTAGAGATGAAAATGGAAGATGACGTAAGCTCCTCCCTCAAAACAAAGCTACTATGCAAATGCCAGGTGGTTTCCCTAACTTGGCTAAATCCTACTTGCTAGGATTTAGCTTCTACTTGCTATGATTGCCCACATCATGCAAAAAAAGTTTATGGGCTCCAGGTGGAAGTTGCCAGGGCACTTTGTTCCTTTTTCTATGCTATCAGCCCAGACATATATGGTTGAAGTCACTCCACTGCCAAGGTCCTGCATTTTTCTGTTGTTATCTGCCTCAAATTGCAGCTATTTACCTCTTGCTTTGGTTCCTTTTGAGGGCTGAAATGAATAGTGGGTACCTGCCATTCATCTTCAAATCTCCCCAGATTCACTTTAATTGTTATCTGCCTCAAATTGCAGCTATTTACCTCTTTCTTTGGTTCCTTTTGAGGGCTGAAGTGAATAGTGGGTACCTGCCATTCATCTTCAAATCTCCCCAGATTCACTTTATTATAATTGCATATATTAGAGCTGGAAAAATAGCTTAGCCACTAAAGGCTAAGGCTAACAACCAAAAAAAAAAAAATCAAGAATCCTGTTTATCAAACCACTCTGTAAGTATCTGTGTTACTTTTCTGTTGCTGTGATACACCGTAACCAAGGTAACTTATAGAGGGAACAGTTTATTTGGCTTACAGTTCCACAGGGTTAAGAGTCTATGATGGCTGGAGAGGCATGGCAAGAGGCAGCTGGAGCACAAAGCTGAGTGTTCATAGGTTCAAGCAAGCACAGGAAGTAGAGAGAGTGAGCTGGAAGTGGGACAAGGCTATGAACTTTCAAAGCCTACCCCTAATGACATGCTTCTTCCAACATGGCCACACCTCCTAAAGGTTCCATGACCTTCCCCAAACAGCGCCACCAATTATTCAAGTGTTCAAATACTTGAGCCTATGAGGTGGCTTCTCATTCAAACTTTCACTGTGCTGAAACATTATTTCATTTTAGTTTACTATTTATTATGTTAAAGTAGCTATGAAATTTTGAGAGTTGCTACATCTTTCAGTTTCCAGTGCTATGTGGTAGAAGTTTAAAAAATGATTAGGAGCCAGGTGTGGTGGCATACCCTTTTAATCCCAGAACTTGGGAGGCAGAGGCAGGTGGATCTCTGTGAGTTCAAGGCCAGCCTGGTCTACATACATAGTGAATTCCAAGCAGCTGGGGCTGTAGGGAAATAAAAAAATAAAAAGAAAGAAAATTGATTAGGATCTTTCAAATCTTTTTGTTGTTTTGTTACAAATATTTTAGTCTATAAATTTAGTACATAAATTTGAAATTTCAAATCAGAATGAATTACAGGACTTTCGCTAATTATGTATTTTGTGCACATGTCTATAACAAAATATGAAATATTACATATGCTTATATAACCAATTCAGTCCCTTTATTTTTTTCACCATATTTGATTTTTACATCAAAAAGTATTCTAAGAATATCCACATGTTCACTAGACCTGGCATTAGCTCATTATACAAAGTTGTAACTTCATAGCTCCACTTACTGATTTTGGCTTCATAGATGTCTAGGGAAACAAATTTTTCCAACAGATAACCTCCTTCGAGACCTACAGTAAATGTGAGGCCTGAGCCCATTTCTTACCTTCATTATCTCATGATTAATGTTTTATATCCTTGGTCCAATAATACACTACAGTACAGTTCCACCAGATCACAAAATTCCATACAGAGTTACAAGTGTCAGACTTATGGAAAGCCATATAGTGGGGGCAACAGAGGTGTGGAGTTTCAGGAATATGGGGAAAGGAGCCTCAAGTTACCTCACAAATGTGCAAGACAAGAAACAGGACTTCCTAGAGAGTGTAGTTTTATGAACCCTTGTTGGTTGCTTAGCAAAACCAAATTTGGACTTCTGATCTCCAAAACCATAAAATCATAAATTTCTACTGTTTCAAGCTAAACATTTTACAGTAATTTATTACATCATTCTTAGAAAATTAATGCAATCTTACTATACTATGCAATAAAACATCCTAGGAACTGAAGCCAATGTTTTATTTCTAAATTAAGGCACATGTTACTGTGCATTGGGAGTTCATTGTGGCTTTCTGTGTCCTTATCACTCGAGGCTGATAAAATCATCCCGTTGTGAGCCACAGGTCTCTGTGAGTCAGGAAAGGTGATTCAGAGAATCTTGCAGTTAAATGCACATCCTACTAACTATACTTAGCACTTATATTCCCATCCCTGTGCTCTAAATGTATTACTTGATGACACTCAATACTATTATACAAAAAGGGCCAAATGCCATGTGCACAGAAAATGAAAACAGTCAAATATTGGGTGAAGCATGAGAATTCCAAACAAAATCAAAGGTTTCAATGAGAATTCTATTATGTCCTTAGTTTCTCTGAGATTCAGTTCCTCATCTGTGCTACATCCTTCTGTCAAGCATCCCTTATGAGGGTAAGTTTGGATAGACAACATTTGCAGGTTCCTGTCATGATGAGCACTAACTGATATTTTCCTGTAGAAACAGCTGCACAAGTGTATCTGAAAGTGTTTCAGCCTGAGAAGTCAGTGTCAGTTGCTGCTGGAGAGAAGGTCACTCTGAACTGCACTGTGACATCCGTGCTCCCTGTGGGGCCCATTGAGTGGTTCAAGGGTGTAGGGCGCAGCCAAGAGACAATATACAGGTTCACAGGAGAGCACTTCCCCAGAGTCACAAATGTTTCAGATGTTTCGAAAAGAAACAACCTGGACTTTACTATCCGCATCAGTGACGTCACCCTAACAGTCGCTGGTACCTACTACTGTGTGAAGTTCCAGAAAATAGCATCTGGCAACAAGAAGATTCAGTCTGGAGGAGGCACAGAGTTGTCTATACGTGGTGAGTGAAGCATCGCTGCCCTTTACTGCCTGATGCTTGGCGACAGGTCAAAAACAGTATTCAACATTCTGTGAGCAAAAGCCAAGAAGCAGATATAGAAATGAGACCTCATGTTTATGAAGGACTTTACCCAAAACCATGGACCAAGGAGGCTGAGAAGTGCAGAGGACACTCTATTTGCTAGAGGTTTCACTTCTGGTAGATGGGTAGAAATCCATGTCTGTAGGCTCCATAGTGTTCATGTTTCTCATTATGCGCCAGTCTAATGGCTGCACAGCTAAAGGCTCTGACAGTTGATGGACTTGTCCAGTGACAGGGTCAGACCTGGCCTGCTCCCTTCAGTGTTCACTCTCTCCTTATTACTAAATCTTCTCTTTATGTCCCAAGATCTGAACAGTATGTGCCAGGCTCTACTCTAGCTCTCAGTGGAGATGCCAGGGAACAGCCAAGTAGGAGCTCCTCCCCAAATGTGGTGTCTCCTCCCTCCGATGAGGAAAGGAAATTAAGATAGAAAGGGACGGGGCTGGGGCAGGGTATGTGTTTCTCATTTTCTCTTCTGTCATTGCACACTGAGAACGTTCTTAGCATGCTCAGATTTTCTGTGAAATCTCTTAGCCCTGGTTTAGATGCTAGCAACAAGTTCAGACTTTACCTTGAGTCTGGAAACCTTGTGTTTCAGGGACTCACTCTCACAGGCAATAAGGCTCTAAGTAAAGTTGGCACATTTCCAGGAGACAGTCTCCATGTTGAGGCAGCAAGATTTTCATGATTAATTTCCTAATAGAGTCTTGACATCGTCTTTCTAGGACTTGATTCTAGGAATTTCACCACAGGAAGGACAATCAGGCTATCCACCCCGAACCTGTTACAGATGTTAGATTGTTTGCAGGGTCAGGGCCCTGTTTACAGTCCCACAGCCAGCTGGTGCTAGGATCTGACCAGGAACCCAGTGCTAACTTTGGACCATCTTCTTGTTGTCCAAGTAAGAGACATTGTCTCCCCTGAAGAACCAGGTACAAAGGTGGGGCTGAATCAAAACTTCTTGAACCCAGCTACTGCACCGTGTGCCAGTTCCCCAAGATTTCAAGATGCTCCTCACAATCAGGTGCTGATACACAGTAGTGACTGGAAAGTGATGACCAATGTCAATCATATCCTTACTCCATGTTACTACTGAGAATTTCTCCTTTGTGTAAACAAAGCATCATACTGCAGCAAGTAGAGATATCATAATACAGATATCTCAGATTGTAGACGCTTCATTTGTTTCCAGTTGGGGCTATTGAAACAGTGCTGTGGTAGATGACCTTGTAGTCATTTCCTGGCCTTTAAAAGGCACATGCTCTTGGGGGGGGCATGAATATTGCCATTTCCCCTCCTGGATATGATAGTATCAAATCTCACACCCATCAATAGGGGCAGGGAAGGATGCTTCCTCCTAACTTTACAGATAACACAAATTAGGACACTGAAATTCCACGGTAGTGCAGGACCTACGCAATCCTGAGTAGCAAGTGGTTCCAGTAAGACGGAACCTATAGCCTCCCAGTGATGCTGGTTTCTATCTGTCATGCCACTTGCCTAAGGATGCCCTAAATGAGAAATTAGATGAGTGGAGTGGCAGGAAACAGCAGCGTGCCCTGTGCTGCACCTCCATCATGACATTTTCTCCCTAAACCTGTGCTGGGGGGCCGGGGCACTTCCCTTTGTAGAAGAGGACCCTGCGTTTCAGAGAGGGTTCCTGACTTGTGAGCAGATGAAGCATCAAGGTTTGACTGCAGCAGCCTGACTCAGCCCAACGCAGCACTCAAGCTATGCTTGTGACAAGGCTCATTCCTTGTGAAGAATCCACAGAGCAGAACCGTCTCCTGCCTCCCATCTTAACAATGCAGTCTGTCGAGGGGAGAGGAATAAAGCAGGTCTTGTTGGAGCAAGAGACTCCTTCTGTCCTGAGCTCTATCAGAAGAAGGGATTTGGTCCTGAACTCTTGATGTCATATTTTCAGTAAAGATGGAGAGGTGGAGTCAGTGCCAGGGCTTCAAAACACTTGCCCTGTTGAGGTCAGTGAAAGATGAGGGCACAGGGACACAGTGGGAAAGAGGACACAGAGTCTCTGTTTCTTTCAACCTCAGTGTCTTCATTAGAGACATGGTGTTCATCACAGATCCTCTAGTCAGGGGGAAGGTCTTAAGTTCCCTCTGCAAGTCACCTGGCACAGTAGCACCTCCATATCCAGGTGGTTTGTCATGGTTTGGATGACTCATTGAAACTGAACCTGTTTATTTTTCTGTGGAATGTGGAGACCTGCACCTACCTTCCCAGAGTGTCATGTTAAAACAGAGAACTGCTGAAAAACTAACATCAGGAATCTTTGGGGTGAGAAAAATCTTGCTCTCTGTGGAGCTCCCTAGGTTGACAAGGCTTCCAGAAGAGTCCAGAAGAACAGTTGATAGAAAATATGAAAGACATTGGTAATTTGCTTCCTCTGCCCAGACCTGGAATTACACTGGAGACAGCTCATTTGACCTAGTTGTGGAGCATGTGGGTGAAGCTGGCGGTGCTCTCAGCTTCCACAATAAACAATGACGATAATGTCTAGGAAGGTCTTTCACAATGTCACCTGTCATCAGTGCTGGCTGTCATAAACATCTCTCATCTGTATGCTCCTTTGTAGCCAGACCATCTCCTCCTGTGGTAGCAGGCCCTGCAGCCAGGGCCAGGCCAGAGCAGACGGTGAGCTTCACGTGCAAGTCCCATAGTTTCTCACCACAGAATATTACCCTGAAGTGGTTCAAAAATGGAAACAAGCTCTCTCACTTCCAGACCGTTGTGGACCCCTCAGTACAGAGTGTCTCCTACAGCGTCTTCAGCATAGCCCAGGTGGTGCTGGGCCCTGGGGATGTTCACTCTCAGGTCATCTGTGAGGTGGATCATGTTACCTTGGAAGGAAGCACTCTTCGTGGGACTGCCAACTTGGCTGACACCATTCAAGGTAGATGTCTCTGATTTCTAGCCCACACTCACACCTGGCCATCAACCTGATCTTCCCCAAGGTCAGAATGGTTTAGAGCAAAGTTCCCAGCAATCATTCAACCTACCACACAGGAGGGAAGGAAATCAAGGGAAGGAAATTGTATTTATTTTTAAAAAAGAAAGTTTTTAAAAAAGAAATTATACCTATTACTAGCCAGCCCTCTCATGCCAGGTAGTTATATGTGTTTTATTATGGTTGTTACAATTTAGCCAGGAGTTATGTTTGTTGATTTCACTCATTATGATCCTCCCTCCCTTAGTACCTGAGGATCTCCTGTGTGCTAAGGGCTATGCCTAAAGGCTCTACTCCTGCACAAACTCTGAGTCCTGTTCCCTGATGCACTTCCAGTGGTGTTGGGTCTTTAGCTATCCAGCCCTTCCTCTGAGGTCTGCCTATGCCTTTTTAGATGACAACTTCTGCTTGTGCTGTTTCAGTTCCACCCATCCTGGAAGTCAGCCAACAGCCAACAATGGTATGGAGTCTGGTAAATATCACCTGCCAGGTGAAGTAGTTCTACCCACTACACCTCCAGGTGACCTGGTGGGAGAATAGAAATGTGTCCCGGACAGAAAAGGCTTCTGTCCTCACACTGAATAAAGATGGAACCTACAACTGGCTCAGCTGGCTCTTGGTAAACACATCTGCCCATAAGAAGGATATAATGCTCACCTGCCAGGTAGAACATGATGGACAGCCAGCAGTCACTAGAAACCATACTTTGATGGTCAGTGAATACCAAAAGATGCGGGGTATGGACACTAACCCTGGTAAGAGCTCCACTCCAGCTGTTTAACTGTTTGTAAACGTCTCTATTTGAAATTTCAAAGGTAGCATTCATGTTTATTGTGAGACAATCTTGAAGTCTATAAACAGACTCAACTTCCCATGCCCAAGGGTCACTACAAATGAGGATCTCATACATTTCGTTCATTGGATGATGATGCTGATGTTGAATGAAAATTTCCTTACTCACCTACGTACCCAGTATGAACTGCATTTGCACTTAGTGAATGCACATAAAAGCTATTAGCGAGTAGTCTAGTTAGCTTTCTGTGATAAAACACTGAACAAAAACAAGTTGGGAGGAAAGGGTTCATATTTGGCTTACAGTTTATAGTGCATCAGTAAGGGAAGCCAAGTCAGGAACTGAAACACAGACCGCAGAGGGAAGAACGCTGCTTACTGGCTTGCTCCTCTGGCCCATGCTCAGCCTGCTTTCTTATATAACCCAGAACCACCTACCCAGGGGTGGCACCATCCACAATTGAGTTGAACCCCCACACCCATCACTCAACAATCAAGAAAGTACCTCACAGGCATGCCTGCTTGTCCTAGGTGATTCTAGATTGTGGCAAGTTCACATTTAAAACTAACCATCATAGATAGTGTCTCATGAAACCCAGGCAAGTCAGAACTCACTTTTGATCCTCTTGTTAGGATTACAGTCATGGGCTACTGCAATGTTGCTATTGTTGTTGTTGTGTTAGGGTGGTACCAGGACCTCTTACACACTAGCCAAACACTCTACCAAGTAAGCTGCATAGACAGCCTATATTCCTATTCTTGAAAACAATTCTAATATCTTAAATTCAAAAGTAAAAATAGCTCTTTATAAACAGCAGGAAGAGTTCTAATAGCATCTGCACTGGGGTAGAGGTGGACTCTAGATGATGGCTGAGGCTCTCCAAATCATAAAACCTGTTCTTATGTTTCATGTGGGTGTTTTCCAGCAAATGGTTTCATCAGGCTGTCTATCACTTCACAGGGAAGACTCCCCCAGTTCCCAAGAACCTAGGGCTATCTAGGATGCTTTTACATAGGCAAGGCAGCCTATCAACTCTGTCTCTTGCTGAGCCACCCTCATTCATGCACATTCTTTGTTCAAAGCTATTCTTCTGTCCTTAGTCCAAGGATACAGTTCCATCCTAAGAGCACCAATCATCCTAGACAACAACAGTGAAGAGTTTCTCTGGATCCAACCAACCTTGTGACTCCCACACCCAAACTCTCTAAACCTCCGGTTCCCCATCATCATGGGAATAATAATCCTTTGACCTACAGGATTGTGAGGGTCAAGCATGAAACCAAATATCACGTTCCACTGAGCACAAATTCTAACCTCTTCCCTCTAGGAAGGTGATCTGGTGACCTGAGGCAAGAACAATGGGGAAGGAAGACTCTCTTTAACATCTTCTGCTTTGAGCTAGTACAGCCAGGACAGAGCACAGGTTCAAACTCCTCAGAGTTTTGATGGGTTTAGGAATCCATAGATGGGGCAAGTAGAGAGCCCCAATAATGAGTTCCAAGTGTCCCCTCTAATGGCTCCTTCCACCCTTTGATTTCCAGAACTGCAGGCATCTCATACTGCTACAGTTCTTACAGCTGTGTTCCTTGGACCTAAAATGCTACTAGTGATTGGCATCTCTGCAATCTGCATCCATGAGAAACAGAAGGCCTGATTGTAAGTTAGGAAGCATGGGTAGAGCAAAGTCTATGCACTTATATAGAAGGGGAAGGGGCAGTAGGAGGACCAGGTCACTTGTCATATAACATTAGGATATGTGGGATCTAGCAGTGATGACATATTGCTGAGGAGCCTTAGGAATCTCTTGGAAACTTTTGAGAGGTCCCCAGGTCCCAGGAGGTGTGTGTATCATGCAAGAAGGGTTAAGTCAAAGATTACAAGAATTTCCAGAAGGCTAGAGGATGTAGAGGAGATGGGCCAAGTGGTATAATGGGTGTTGGTTTGGATGCTCCCACTAGAAGCCATCACTAGGTTAGTAGAAGACAAAGGATCTGTGGGGGAACAGAAATCAACATTATGGAACAATTTTTTAAAAGTTTCAGATCACCTTTTATAAAGGCTGTTTCCACCTTGGCTTTCTCTATGACTGTGAAGAATGAACTTGGAAAAACAATCAGGGAGGAAGCTGAGGTGACACTCCTATGATCTGGACATCTCATCCACTCATGATGAATGCAAGGAGGAGAGCAGCACCAGGGGCATTGTATCACCAAGGAGGCAAATTTTAAATCAGAGGAATATTAAATAAGATGTTATTTTCCACAGCTCTTTTCTTCCTCCTCTTCTACAGAAGACACTGACTCTCTTTAGTCATGTTGCTTGGAGGGGCTCAGCCTAGAAGAAACTGGTAAGAAACTTGAGAAGACTGTTCTCCTAATGCCTCCCCTCCAAGAACAACTGATGACTCAAATTCCCTGTTGTTCCTTGCACAGGCATTGATACCCCAGAGCTGTGTCTACATCCATGGTCTTCAGTAGAGATCTGAGAATAGACTCTGGACCCTTCCCTAAAACATGAGGAACAAACCATTCTGAGCACTTCAGGGTGTCTCTAATCCATTGCTCTAAGTTTGGCCTTTACTGCACACTTCAGTCTATGCTCTCTGGAGCTACTCTGTCTCCTGGATTCCATTCTACCCAAACTCCTAGCCTTATTGATGTTCTCCAGTTAGCTATATCCTGATTTTAAGAATAAACATTTCTCTCTTCCCTATTTACCCAAGTGACCTTGTTCTCAGATCTCTTCTACTGAAAACTATCCTCCACTTTTTGTAATGAAAACAAAAATTTTTCTGTCACCTTTTTTTGTTACTAGCTCTCCTGCAAATGCTGTGAAAGTACAGACTTTGAGTCATTTTGTTTTCTCTTTATCCTCCTGTGCACTTATAATGTCATTAAAATGCATATACCAATTCTTTTTAAGAGTCAAAATTTGACTGAAAAAAAAGGATAGAATGAAGATTTGTGCTGCTTGTATTTTTCTTTTTTATTGAATTTTTGTGAATCTCATGCAGTGTTTTGATCATATTGAGACCCCCTCCCTGTCTGGACCCCTTTTATAGCTCTCACCAGATTTCATGTACTTTTTCATATATTGAGTTCTATCAAGTCATTTGTATTCCAAAATGTCCTTTGGTGTGCATCCATCCACTGGAGACTGGTTGTGATCGCTGATCCTGGGTATTAACTTGCCTGAATCTGGGATTAGCTGAAATGAGAGGGACCTCCTTGATTGGATCATTTGAAGCTGAAAGACCCACCCTAAATGTGGGTGTTACCTTCTGATGGCAGCCTGTATAAAAGGCCATGGCAGAATGGAGCTCTTGCTTTTATTGTCCCTTACCTTCTCTCTCACTAGTGTGTTTGTCTTGCTGCCATGACCAACTTCTTCAGATTCCAATATAGACTGAAGATTAGCAGATCTCTTGGAATATGTCAGGCCTTCAGTACCAGATTGGGACTAATGAGACATCCAGCCTCCTTGACTGAGCAACTACTGGATTCTCAAGCTTTCCAGTGTTGTGCAGCCATTGTTGGACTACTTGAACTCTATCATGTAAGCTAATCTAATAAATCCATAGATAATCATAGATAATTGATAGATTGATAGATAGATAGATAAATGATAGATGATGATAGATAGACAGTAGATGATGATAGATAGTTGATTGATAGATAGATAGATGATAGATAGATAGATAATAGATAGATAGATAGATGATAGATAGATAATAGATGATAGATAGATATAGATGATAGATAGATACATAGATAATAGATGATAGATAGATAGATAGATAGATATAGATGATAGATAAATAGATAGATAGATAGATATAGATGATAGATAGATAAATAGATAGATAGATAGATAGATAGATAGATAGATAGATAGATGATAGATATTCATTCTACCAGTTATGTTTCCCTAGAGAACCTTGAGTTCTCTAACTGGCTAACATACCTAGCATCATACTCCTTAAGAAAACCAACTTTCCATCTTCCAGTAATCAGTTGCCAATAGTTCTTCAGTTAAGATTGGGGCTTTTCAACCACTTCTCACTTCTATGCTTGGATTTTGTCTGACTCAAGCTTTCAAGGATCCAGTGCATGCTGTTATCATTGCTGTAAACTTCAACTGTGGAAGGAATAGGGACAGCTATTCATGGGGAGAGAGAAAAAGGATAAATAAACTTAGGTTGTGTGAAAAACCAAAGGAAAATGTATTATTTCAAAAGTCTACTTTTCAATAAACATAATATGTGTGTGTATGTATATATTGTGAGTGCATGTGTGTCACCCAAGTTCTCTTGAGGTCTCTTGCACTATCAGACAAACCATATAACATATTTTTATGTGAAATTATTATGGTTTATGCCCAGCCAGCGGGGAGGGGTGACTTACAAAGGAAACAAACACCGGGTGCCCAGCTCTATGCCATGGCTCAGAGCCCACCATTCCAGACCACAAGCCCACCACTCCAGATCGCTCCTGAAGCCCACCCATAGTCACCGCTAGGTTTGGCCCATGCCTCAGGGACCCACAGTCTTGCCCCAGGTTGGTAAATGCCGGGCCATTCCTTCTCTTGACTCTGGTCCCGGTGCCTGTCCAAGATAGTGCCCAGAAGCCCCTCCCTCCGTGGCTAGCACTCCTCAGTCAATTCTCCTCAGCAGGCCTCTGGGATACACTGTGACTAGCTGAAGGCTGAACAACAAAAAGCACAGTGCCAGGCAGGGGACCCTCCCTTTGAGTTGTTGGTCAGGCTTGTTCAAGAGACCCCAAAAGAATACAAGCTCTTGCCACAGCCCTTGATTGCCTCCCCAAACTTAAAGGTAAGGCCCTATTGCTGAATACAGGACATACTTCAGACATAAGACTTGGAGAAATAAAGCTGAAACTGACCTGGAAGCCTCCTCCCTGAAGACTAACTCCCATAGTATCAGAAGATACCATGAAAACTGCCAAAGGAGAAAACCAATCAATGATTCCATCCAACTGTAAAGTCTATGAACAATACTAATGACTGTCCCAGAAAATAACCTCTACTGGTGCAGTAGTGGCATTTTTATCTTGAGGGCAAGCAACAGCTGTCTAATTGGACTGAAGGGTTTGCTCAATGGGAACGAACTCATGTGTAAGGTCACAGATCCTAAAGAAAAAAACTACTCTCATCACATCCATAGACCAATGTAACTTCTTAACATATTCTAAGTATGTACCTTTGTATTTACGGACAAGCATACCTCTCACCACTCATGAAAGAAACTTCTTTTCACAACAGTTAGATGTTGCGGGTTCTCCTCAGGCCAGCTGTGAAGACCCTAACCTGGATCGGGTCCCCTGCCAATTGGGGGGCAAGAGACGCAGAGTCACAACACACAGACTCTGGGAGTCAGGTAGAAGCAAGCACTGAGTGAGGTGCTGCAGGTTCGTTTAATGCAGGAGGGGGCAGGCCTTATATTTCCCTTTTCTCCGCCCCCAAGTCCCTTTAGTCAGCGTATCATTTTCTGATTGGTCTGCGCCACACAGTCTGTCAGCAGTCACTGGGCTCGCGAGCAGGGTACAGAGGTGTGTGCTCATTTTGGTGGGCTATTTGCAGACCAAGAAGTGAAGAGAGTTCGCTGAATCCCAGGGCTCTGGGTCCGTGCCATCTTTGGAGGCCTCCTGCTACAGTTAGAGACTATTACAGAGTGCCACAACTGGAACTCTGCAGACAAATGCAGAGAACAACTGTTGGTGAGGTGCCCGACCCTAAATGATACTTCTACAATGCAACCCCTGCACCTGAGGCTCAGGGAACATAGTGGAGCAGCAGGTGAAAGAACATCAATGTATCTCTCATCTCTTACCAGTGAATCTTCCTCATGCAACAAATGGTGATTAACCCAGAAAGCCACAACTGGCCAAAGTGCAAAGCATAAGAGACTGTAAAGTGCTTATCCCTGAATAGGACACTTTTCTCAAAGCTCTCCCACCCAAGGCTCAGTGACCATTGCAGAAGAGGGACCAGAAAAATTGTAAGAACAAGAGGCGGTTGATGACCACAAGGAAACAGAATTTTCCAGACAGCTGGAGAGTTTCTCAAATGAACTTGCTTATATTTTTCTATCATGTAGATATGCCATCAAAATAAGTTTCAAGTTACCTATAGTTTGAACACATGCACAGCCCTGACAATTTATCACAGGCTAATCCAAGTTACCCCTGTACTACTCTATGGTATCCACAGTCTGGCCTTGTCTCATCTCTGTACCCCAACCCTAGCCATATCATCCCCCAAGGACTGTTGCTACAACTCCTACAGTTCCCATTTTAGCCACTAAATGCTTTGGGAAACTAAATTAAACACAGTTACCCCTCTGCTTCTTCCAAATACATCTGCATAGTACACTCTCTCCCTTCTTTCCTGTGGCTGCCCAAAATCACTTTGTCACCAGCCCTTTCCTTATACCACCATCTATAAACATGGGCAATACAGCTCTGAAGTTCCTGTTTGTGGAAACTAAGAGAAATACCTTGACAAAAAAAATTGAAGGGAGAAAGGTCTATTTTGGCCACAGTTCCAGGGTACAGTTCATTCTGGTGGGGAAGTCATGGTGATAGTAGCTAAAGCAGCTGGTCACACTGTGTCCATGGTCAGGAAGTAAAGAGAGGTAAGGGCTCATGTCCAGCAAGCTTCCTCCTTTCTATGCAGTCCACAACCCAAGGGATTGGTACCAGCCACTTTAAGGGTGGGTCTTCCTACCTCGGTTAATCTAATCAAGATCGTTCTTCACAGGCTGCCCAAATGCTAACCTAATTTAGAGAAGTCCTCTCAGGTGTGCCAAAAGATTATCTCCTAAGTGATAGATTCTGTCAAGCTGATAATCAGTATTAACCATCAAAATCAGTATTAACCATTGAGACACCTACAGTGGCCACCCTTAACTGATAAATGCTAAAATAAACTATTGACTGATCAATAATGGCTGTGAACAAACATTCCCAGAAAACAAAACATTATCTTCAACTAAACCTCCTGTAAGGCTAATCAACTAGAACATCAATGATTGGGAAAAATTTGGAATGGTATCGCACGCTTTTAATCCCAGTACTTGGGAGGCAGAGGCAGGCAGATCTCTGTGAGTTTGAGGCCAGCCTGGTCTACATAGTGAGTTATAGGCCAGCTGGGGCTATAGGGAGGACCTGTCTCAAAAAAGCCAAGAAGAGAAAAACTTGAAAAAGAAGAAAAACAAAGCTGGACATCTAGAGATTTGTAAAAAGGGAACAGAAGTTAAGCAAACCCCTGGAAATATGTCATCCCTCTGCACTCCAGGCTGAGCGGAGTCTCTGAGTGAGTCCTAGCTGGCTCTTCCTGCAGTGCTGGCCATTTTCTCCCAGATTAATATGCTCAATACTTTTCATTGCTTCAGGGTAGGTCAAGGTCAAGTTTTTAACATAGTGAAAAAGCAGGTTCTAATAGATTCCAGTCTACGTTGCCCAGAGTGATCTGATCATAATGAAAATAGTCTATGTTCATGATTATATAACCAAACACAGATCTGAAGAGATGGCCTAGTGGTTAAGAGTGGGTACTGCCTTTATAGAGGACCAGATTTTGGTTCCATGTACCCACATCAGGTGGCTTACAACTGCCTGTAACTCCTTTTCCAGGGGAATCTAAAGCCCTCTTCCTGCCTTCACAGACACCTGCACTTATGTACAAATACCCACACATAGACATGTACACATAATTTAAAAATAAAATAAATCTTAAAAAGAAACCACTGGAGGTGACTTTCTAATGAAGGCCCATAGACCTGTGTCCTCCTGTGTCCCACTGTTACTTCACTTTCAGAATCAACTGCTTTCACCTATTTCTTCAGTTGATTTACTTTCACCTTCATAGATAAAGATATCATTATTCTTTAATTATTATCACAAGATAGCTTGAAAGCCTGGTATTAAACACATTGCTTATTTGTCAGTGTAAGACATTATCTACTGACTTCTGCCTACGACAAATCACCCAGTCACACTGTCTCACTACCCCTCTCCCGCTTCTCTTTAGTTACCAATAGATTCAAAATTTGTATGTATATTCTTGTTAAATGC